ACTGTAGAGCATCAGGAGGTGGTGATTGGGGAAGCATGGTAACCCCCTGAGCACCACGGAGGACCACGTCGGCCAGGACAATGTCAGCGGCACCCATGTGGTGATGTCACTTGCCCACGCAGAGGGCTGCTTTCTACTCAGTGTCCTGTGCCAAGGCAGCCATCTTGGTGCTTCCATGGATTGTTTGTTGACTTGTCAGGGAGAGACTGTGGTTTCATAGCAGAACATCTGCCTGGCATGCAGGAGGTTCCAGATTCGATCTCTGGCATCTCCAGTTCAGGATCAGGTGGCAGGTGGTGTGAAGGCCGGAGAGCCTGGAGAACCGCTGACAGTCAGAGAAGGTGACACTGACTTGGATGGACCCATTGTCTGATTCAGCTTCATGCATGTGTGTTCATGTGACTTCCTTGAGTTTGGGTTCCAGATCCCCCTTGTCGCAGAGAGACCATGGCTCAGTGATTCTATGACTGTATTAAGCAGTGGCTGGACAAACACCTGTCAGGGATGCTCTAGGCTGATCCCGCATTGAGCAGGGGGTTGGACTAGATGGCCTGTGTGGCCCCTTCCAGCTCTGTGATTCTATGATTCTATGATTCATTGGTTTGTCATGCAGAAGGTCCCGAGTTCAATCCCCAGCATCTACAGTTAATAGGTGATGGGAAAGACCTCTGCCTGAGACCCTGGAGAACCAACTACCAGGCTGAGTACTGATCTTGATGGACCAATGGTCTGATTTACTATAAGGCAGTTCCATATGTGTGTTCACTGGCAAGAACACAGCGGTGGAAGTGAGTAGCCCTCCACAAGAACAGTCACTGACTTCAAACCAGTTTAGAACGGTCGTGTAAATACGAACAATCGTTAGTCAGTGAGCACCCAGACCTTATTTGCATTCGCTTTTTTTGCAGTACCTTCTATTAGATTCAAAGAGAGTCCGTTTGGTGTAGTAGTTAGGAGCGTGGACTCTAATCTGGGAGAACCAAGTTTGATTCCCCACTCCTCCACATGCAGCTGCTGGTGTGACCTTGAGTCAGTTATAAGTTTTCTCAGAGCTGTTCTCGAAAGAGCTCTGTCTTAGCCCCAAGTACCACACAAGGTGTCTGTTGTGGGGAGGGGAAGGGGAAGGAGATTGTGTGCTGCTCTGAGACTCTTTTGGGGTAGTGAAGGGAGGGGTATAAATCCAATTTCCGCCGCCGCCGCCTCTTCCTCCTCTTCCTCCTCCTCTTCTTCTTCTTCTACTTCCTCCTCCTCCTCCTCCTCCTCTTCTTCTTCTTCTACTTCCTCCTCCTCTTCCTCCTCCTCCTCCTCCTCTTCTTCTTCCTCCTCCTCTGGTTAATTTCATCCCATTTTGCTTTCTCCAAAAAAAGAACTGCTGCAGACATTGGATTTTAGAAATGTCATGACTTGGCTTTGTGGCTCCAATCAATCCTCATCTTCTGGGGCAGAGGTTATTGGCTAATTGGATCAGCGGCTAGCGACCCGTCGTTAAAATTTACACCAAAGAGACTGCTTCCCGGCAGAGATGGAATAAAACTGAGAAATCAGGAGAACCCCAGCTATAATAAAAATAACAGGATGAATGAACCCGCCGCCGCTGCAAATCAGATATTATTGATGTAAAGTGTTACCTCGCGCCATGGAAACCAGACAGTATCTTGCTGGCTGTTTGTCTAACGAGATCAATGGCTTATTTTAATCAACATGTGAGCTACCAGCTTCAGGGATGAGATGTGGTCTCCTCCAGCACTCAGAGTTTTGCCACCTGACTCCATGCCTTTGATGAACAGGAAGTCTGGTTTCCTCTGTCATTTACCTGTAATTTTCTGGATTTGTGAATCTGTTCTTACGGAAATAGATAAGGCATTGAGGAGATTGATTGATCTAGAGTCCAAAAGATTAATTGATCTAGAGTCCCAAAGATTAATTGATATTGGCTGCGATCATACGTACAAGAAGCTGCAACAGACATGCGATTCCCCTGCGGATTAAAGGGACGCGATCAGACGGACACATCTGTCCAGCGTCCCGGAGTCGTCCTTGGGGCGGAGCGTCGTAAAAAGCCATCAGGGAAACAGCCTCGCTTCCCGCCCGCATTTCCTCGCTGGTGTGATTGCAGCCATTGACTCCCAAAATGACAAAGCAGTGCTTTCTTTAAATTATTAACGCTTAAGAAAAGGATTGAGCTACACCTGCCCTTGCAGCAGCGTTGCTGCCCCTGTTCAAATAAATCTATCACACATACACTTTTGCACTGCGAATTCTATCAAGGAGAAAGGCTACAATTAATTATTCCATTACTCTGCAGATTCAAACCATTACAGTGTTATATAGATTTTAGTCCTGAAACCCTTTGGGTATATCTATTAGGTGATAGCAGGGCTCTTTTTGTAGAAAAAGCCCAGCAGGAACTCATTAGCATAATAGGCCACACCCAACAGCAGAAACTCATTAGCATACTAGGCCACACCCCTAACAGCACAGCTCATTAGCACATTAGGCCGCACCCCCATGTTACCAGAAGTGTAGTTATCCAGCCACACCCACTTTTTGCTTGTTATTCTGTTTACCTTGTTTGTTGTCAAAACCCAGGGCTTTTTTGTAGCAGGAACTCCTTTGCATGTTAGGCCACACACCCCTAATGTAGCCAATCCTAATGAGTTTCTGCTGTGGGTGTGGCGCACTGCGAATTCTATCAAGGAGAAAGGCTACAATTAATTATTCCATTACTCTGCAGATTCAAACCATTACAGTATTATATAGATTTTGGTCCTGAAACCCTTTGGGTATATCTATTAGGTGATAGTCAGATAACTGTATCACATGCAGTAGCAAAATTCTGTGTGATAGGAAACATCAGCTGCTGGGAAAGAAATTAATGAAATGAGTGTGCTTTTTACACACACATGAGTGTGTCTTTTACACATATATCCCCATATCTTCTATGTATTTGTTCATTTTAAATTGTCTTTTTTATCTGTATTTATCGTGACTGGTCTTATGACCGTAATAAACTTCTGAAAGCAGCGAGGAGACCACCCACCAGCATTTGGGAAGTTGATTCTTAGTGGGGGAAAACATGAACACACAAAGCTGCCTGATGCTGAATCAGACCCTCCGTCCATCACAGTCAGTCTTGTCCACTCAATACTGGCAGCAGCTCTCCAGGGTCTCAGGTGGAGGTCTTTCACATCACCTCCTGCCTGACCCTTTTAACTGGAGATGCCGGGGATTTTAACTGGAGATGCCAGGGATTGAACCTGCGACCCTCCTGCATACAAAGCAGATGCTCTGCCACTGAGCCACAGCCTTTCACCTCCTCACACTCACCAACATCTCCTCGGGAGGTGGTGGATGCTCCTTTGCTGGACGTTCTCAAGCGGAGGCTGGACCACCATCTTTTGGGTATGTTGTAGGGTTATCTTTCGGCCATGCTCCTGCAGAGTGCAGGGGGTTGGACTAGATGACCTGCAAGGTCCCTTCCAACTCTAACATTCAATGATTCTATGATCTCTGAAGATTATCCTGGTGGCCCTGCAAGAAGGTATGGAGACCAGTTGTAATTCCAGGAGGTCTCCAGGTCTCACCAGGAGGTTCGGCAACAAACAGGAAACATGCCGAGGTTGAGTAAATGTGGGAAAACACCGTGTTAAAACAAAATACACAATTCTGATATGCCACTATGCCTTCATATATTCATTTAAATCATAAATATACAATAAAGACCCTAGTGTATCTTATTAATTATAGTAGATTGATAACAAAAGCTAAAGAACAATATATATCGTGTAACAACATATAACAATATATATCCACAATATATATCCACTTATAACAATATATATCCACAGCTGCAGAGACGAATATGCAGACAGGATTCAGTGCTGTAGACTATCTTGCTTTCTAATGAGAGATGCAGCATCCGTCAATGCCAATATCGTTGGCTGTTTTGCTTTCCGAAAAGAGATACAGCAAGCATCAAAGCGACATGCCTCCCAGGTTAAAGTTGCGTGTTTCGAGAAATTCTTCTTCGGGCAAATTATTTTTTTTCCTGGAACTGAATTACAAATACAATATAATTGAGTGAGAGAACACCACAGAAGTCCCGGGTTGCTATACAGAGGCAGGCAATGGCCAACCACCTCTGTTCATCTCTTGTTGTAAGTACTGTTCTTTTAATTCTCTTGGAATCATCAGTGCAGCTGTGTTTTATTAGAGTGGTCTTTCTGGGTTGTTCGTATGGAGAACCGGAGAAGCCTTCCACAGAGATGTTTGACTTGTGCATAGTAGCATTGTGAGCAGTGTTCCCTCTAAGCTGAGTTAGTGTGAGCTAGCTCGCAGTTTTTTAGCCTCCGGGTGGCTCCAGAGCACACTAACCTATGCAGTGGCCAAATCGCTCGCTCACACCTTTAATGCCAGGAGCTTACAAAGTAGAATTTCTGCTCATGTGACTCCACAGCTTAGAGGGAGCATTGCATGTCACAGGGTAGAGTGTTTGGTGGTTTGTGCCTCGCCAATGGGAAGGTTCTCCATATGATCAAAAGAAAGCAAGACCTAGCCAGAGCAGCTGGGGGGTAAACAAAGAAAATAAAGAAATAACAATAAAAATGGAGCAAAACTATCTAGATAAAGTATAATAAATAAATAAACAAAATGTTAATTAAAATAAGATGGAAAATGTTAAATAATAAAAATACTGTAACATATGTTCTTCAATGATGTATGTAATCACTATTTGAGAGAGAGAATAAGAAGTGAGGAGAGAAAAGAAGGGAACAAGAGATCAATGACAACTTTGGCAACTGTTGCTGTTGAATATTGTTTATTCTTTGTGTAGGGTATCAATGGGACGAAATGAGTAATGGTAAATGATTATTGATATGCATATTATTATGAAAACCCAATTAAAATATTATTCAAAAAAGAAAGAAAGAAAGCTAGCATAGCCAGTTGACAGGGTTGTTGATCATAAGACCTGTTTTTGTCTGTCCTTTCCCGCTCAGGTCAACGCTTTCATCTCCTTCGTCTTCCCGATGGTCGTCATCTCCGTCCTGAACACCATCATCGCCAACCAGCTCATCGTCATGTTCAAGCAGGCCGCACAAGAAAACCAGGTGTGCACCATCGGAGGGCAGCAGACCATGCTCAGCATGTCCATGGAGCCCGGCCGTGTACAAGCCCTGAAGCATGGAGTCTGCGTTCTAAGTATGTACCTCTCGTGTTGAAGCACCGTTCACAAATTCAGCTGTTATCTCCATCAAGGCTGTGCTGGTGTTTTGAGATCCAGCAGTTACATGTTTGTTCTCTGTAAAGAAACTCCCAGCTTCATTAGTGGACAATGCATTGGGGGGGGGGAGTTTGAAAAACAAAGTGAATTGAATCCAAACACCCTCTTCCACTAACAGTGGAGCCCTCCACTGCTGTAAAGAGCCTACCACTATTACAGTATGCCTTTTCCAGCACAGCAAAGCTCTGTGGACCAACTGGAGAGTCCTTGCATCAGAGTAAGGCTCCACCATTAGTGAAACTTTTAGATCCAAGCCGGTTAAAAAATATATATATCCTATGGCATTGTGTGTGTAATAGCCAGGGAATCCCAAAGCATTGTTTGGCTGCCTGAAGCTGTAGTTCTTTTGGGGCACCACTAGGTGGCGAGCTATGCTTATTTGTAGGTTGAGGGTGCTGTGACTTGCCCAAGGTCATCCAGCTGGCTTCAAGTGGGGGATCGAGCCCAGTTCTCCAGATTAGAGTCCGCCGCTCTTGACCACTACACCAAGCTGGGTCCCTGCTGATCCAACCCAGTATTCATGAATACCGCTGTCATAAACAATAGTGATCTGTTTCTCTTGCCCAAGGGCCCTTCCCTTCTCTTTTAGGCTTTGTGGACATCTGAAAAGGCTTCACCGTACCAAGCCATCCAGGGAGAATAACGAGGTGAAACAGTGGGAAATCCATGGATCACAAGGTCCCTTCCCTTCCAGAGCTACACTGGAAGTGATGGTGGTAGTTTAAGGAATCTCCAGAAACTCTATGGTCAACCATAGAATTCCCAGGCTTTCCTAGAGCTACCGCTGTGGTTTCCAGGTTTCCCCCAGAAGTGATGTCACCATGCTTGTGCGGCTGGTGAGGTTTTTCTTAATTCTTACAAGCTTCAGTCTCTGTCAAAGCCCTGGATAGTTACTTTTGCCTTTTAAGAATGCTGGGAAATGCAATCAATTCTCTGCCAATGCCATCTCAAAACTGGGCCCTTTTATCAGATCCTTGGGATCTGAAAACCAATTGAAACAAGCAAAAAAAATTAAAAATGTTTTTTTCTATTCTATTATTTCTGTAAAACTCGCAGGGTTGGATGTGCCACCTCCTTTAAAAAAATCCATTTCTACTTTGGAAATAACTGCAAATCTGAGGGCGTCATGAACACGTCAAGCTGAGCAAAACTCCCTTATGTTCCTCAGTTGTACTCAAGAGAGTTAATCAATCTAAACTCTGTTATGTATCACTGACTATTTTGGGAGTAGGTGACAACATTCCTTTTCAGCAAAAAAATCAAGACACACACATAATGCTGTACCAAAGTCTTAGGTAGAATAATAAGTTCTCAGGGCCCACTGGTGAAAGACAGCACAGTTGAATCCATACGAGACATAGGGTTGGTTGCTCACCCGGTGAAAATTGAGGACATTCAGGGATGCAGTTTAAAAGCCATGATTTTTATGTCTGGGAATAGCACATTCACACATTCGGATAAGTGTTCTGTACCAACAAGAAGCAGAGAAGCAATAGTTCTGACCTGCACACAAGAGGACAGAGGTGGTGATCAGTGTTCCCTCTAAGCTGAGTGAGTGTGAGCTAGCTCACCGTTTTTTAGCCTCTGGCTCACACATCTTTGTGAGTTTGGTGTAGTGGTTAAGTGCGCGGACTCTAATCTGGGAGAACCGGGTTTGATTCCCCACTCCTCCACTTGCACCTGCTGATGTGACCTTGGGTCAGTCACAAGCTCTGGCACAACTGTCCTTGAAAAAGAGCAGTTTGTGTCAGAGTTCTCTCAGCCCCACCCACCTCACAGGGTGTCTGTTGTGGGGAGGGGAAGGGAAAGGAGTTTGTAAGCCGCTCTGAGACTCCAAGTGAAGGGCGGGGTATAAATCCAATCTCTTCTTCTTCTTCTTCTTCTTCTTCTTCTTCTTCTTCTTCTTCTTCTTCTTCTTCTTCTTCTTCTTCTTCTTCTTCTTCTTCTTCTTCTTCTTCTTCT